GAAGAGTAATTCAGCTTGATCGTGTTGTCAGAGAGATTGTGCAGGAAGCCAGGATTTGGACGTAAACCCTCTAGTTTGAAAGGCCAGGTGCTTTCTGCAGCTACGGGCCTCCATACCCGGACGCTTCTTCCTTGATGAAGTAGGAGAAAGTGTGATGTCTGGGAAGAGATGAAGCGAACTGGTTCTAATCTGCCACACACCAGCCGGATGCCCTCAGACCAGTCATTTAATCTCCCTGTCTTGTCCCCCAGTCAGTCAGTGATAATGACTAACATTTGCTCGGAAGACAACATGGGGTGGTTCTCCCAGCCTAAATTGAGAATTCTTGAGCAAACCCATTGGCAGTTTTATTCACTGTCATATCCACCACGCCTGGAACATAACCTGGAAGAAGTTGATGCCCCACAAAAATTGGTTGGGTAGATAATTGACTAACTGAATGGGTGAACCTAAGTGTTAGACACAAGGCCTGAGTCATTGTAAGCACTCAGCGATGAAGATTCCCTTTTCCATCTCTTTTCCCTCCGATAGAGCTGGGAGCCTGGCCGGGAAGACGGTGGGCATTATGGGATGGATAATACCTCCTTTGACACTATTAAGACTTAGAACTAAGTGGCATGCTGATGTTCCATGCCGTGGAGCAGGAATGCTTAAGAAATCACCTGTGTCTCAGGCCCGAGATGCTGCTGTACCAGGTCCAGTTGCTATGGCAACTCCCTAAACCCCAGTGCCTGCTCTATGGGCATCTGGCCTCCACACAAGTTTGACCTGTGTGCTTTCTTCTTCCTGGACTTCTGAGACAATCATGGCTACCCAGGTACTCTCTGAGTAAATGGCTACCCCAGGACACTGCTTAGTCACACTCCCTCATCCACTCACTCCCTCGCCCTAAGTTCCTCCCTTCACTCCAGCCTCTATCCCTGCAAAGAATAATTCCAATCCTAGTATATTCTAAAGATGTGTGGAACAAAGAGGTACATGAGTCCTGGTTTCTGTCATCATCCTTCACAGAACTCGGGACCAGGGGGTGATGAGACAGATAGCTGTATCTGATTTGGAGATTATCTTTTTACCAAGCACCTGCTGCTGTTGCTGCTATTGTTGTTGTTGATGCCATTTGATTCCATCAAGTCACTTTCAATGTATAGAGACTCCATGTGGTCATGTAGAACTGATCCCACAATGTGTTCTTCATGGTTCTCTTCATAGAAACCATCAGCCATGTCTTTCCCCCATGAGCATCTGGATGGGTTCGTTTCCATCCTTTCTATTGGCAATTGAGCAATTCACCAAGGGCCTACTATGTGTCAGGGTTAGCCTAGCTATTTAACATCTGCTACCACATTGTAGGTGCTACAGCATTCTTAAAGAATGACTCATTTTAAACACCCCCCTTTTCCTGATGAGAAAATAAGGATCAAGAGCTCAACTGACATCGCTTCCCCCATGGACTCTTAGGAACCCTAGATTTATGTGAAGGTTAACTGACACAAGGGGATACAATGAACCCAGTATGGCCCCGAAAGGATAGCAAGAGCACCCACCCCCTCCCACTCCTTGTCCTCAACCCTCTTCTCCCTTCTCCCTGAACAAGAGGAAAAAAAATCAGTTTCCCTGAACAAGAGAAAAAAATCAGTTTTTTCGAGCCCATATAGTATTTCTGGTGGTCAACTAATTAGTGAAAGGGGTGGTTTGGTCACACCCATTTCTGCTGTTGTCTGGGCCTGGTGTGAGAGATGCCCCCTCGGAGCTTCTGTCCTCAAGGACAGTACACTCTTGTCCATGACTCACCACTAAGTGTATCCTCTTCTCTAACCCTCAAGAGTCCCGAACTACCTTTCACATCTCACCCTCTGAGCCCCGTTCTCTCCACCAGTGCTTCATGCTGGGCTCATCCTCCCATATTCTTCCCTGCAGAGCAGAGCTATGGAATGACGAGTATAAGCTCAGTGCTGCTGCCCACTACTGTCGGGTGATATTGTGAACAAGCTACGCTGGATGAGTTACATGCCTTATATAGAGTCCCAAACCAGAGTCCCTTCTCTCTAATAGAGAGAATTGTGTTCATTTGTTTATATTATTTAATTAGGAAAGTGCATATATTATCAAAGTTGGAAGGAACTTTGTATTGCACCTGCAAAAGGGATAAAAAAAGATTTCTTTGTTGATTTTAGGTTTTAGTGATTTCCCTTCTTCTAGCACTAGGAATATTTAAAAAATTTATCTCCTTTTATATTTAAAACATTCAACTACAAAATGATTTTTGTGGGTGCAGCATATACATAAGCAGTCCCTACCCTAAGCCCTGCATTGCCCCAGGGCTGTGAAGAAAAGGCTGAAAATGATAGACAAGGACCCTCTTCTTCCATTAACCACCTCTGGCATCACGCAGTGATTTTGACACAGGAGACACAGTGCTGTTGACAAGGTATTCCTTCTCGGGAGCAGTTCTCAATCTATTAAGAAACACAAACGTCTATGCAAGTGATCCCTAAACAGTCTGTTCTATGGTTTCTGTGGGATTTTGTTGACTGGTTATATTTGGTACGCTTTCAGATGGGTCAGCACTTGTGTGGTGCTGACTGTGAATTATTTTCTCTCTCACACTTTGGACGTGTTATCAGGAAAGACCAGTCCCTGGCAAAGGATAGCTTGCTTAGCAAATTAAGGGGGCAGAGGAAAAGAGGAGGACCCCGGACAAGACGGGTTGACATGGTGGCTGTCGTATTGGGTTCAAACCTAACAGTTGTGAGATGGTGCCGGAGCGGGAGGTGTTTACTTCTGTTGAACAGAGCGTTGCTAGCATTGGGAACTGACTTTACAGCACCCGGCAACAAGAACAACATCCCTCGATACCTTAATGCCCTTACTGAGTTCCCGGTGCCAGAAACCTAGTAGTAGACACTGGGAACCAATGGTGATCAAAAAAAGAGAATGGCTGTCCTCAGGAAGTTTGCCAATTAGTTAGAAACACTTTGCCAATTGAAACCCGTCAGTGTCTCAATAAGGTACTTTCGGAAACTGCCCAGAGAGGGAAGAAGTTGCCTTGATGGTGACTTTGGAAGAGTCAAGAGGGGCCAGGAAAATGAGCGTGGAGTTCTTTGCCAAAGAAACAAAACTTACACTAACAGCATGAGGATGGCTGTTGACTGAGGGAAGGCTGCCTGCACCTGGGCCAGGTAGGTGACTACAACAGGAAGTATGAGGACCCATCAGGTAAAGCCTCTGATGGCAGGCTGGAGAACGAACACGGATTGCATCCTGTGGCCAGATGTTGTTGAACGGCTGGAGGGGTTCCAACAGGGAGTGAGGTGATCAGACGTGCCTGTGCCTCTCTCGTTCCACAAGTAAACACTCGGTGTGATGGAAGGAATGAGGTGAACGTGCTAAGGACACAGAGTGCATGAAACCACATGACATTTGGGGAGCTCGGAATGAGGAAGACGGATTGAAAGGTGATCTGTAGATGTCTGGCCTGTGTAAATGGCAGTGTTTTCAGTAAGTTATGAGGTGTCGGAAGACAAAAGGCTTTAGGGGCAAGATAATGTCTCGAGCTTTGAACTTGTATTTAGCATGCACAGTGGATATCCATGGAGAAAGTGTTAATAGGGAAGTTAGGGGTAAATTGATTTATTGCTCAAAAGAGAAGCATCGGCAGATACTAAAAATTTGGAGGTGGCATTACTTTAAAAAGAATATCCAAACCCGGCAATGTCGATGTGAATAGCAAAACTCAATAAATAAATCAGCAAGGAGGGAGACTCAGGACTAATTCCATAAAAAAATTTTGCTGACCCGATGCTCTCTTGGCCATGTGATTCCAATTTACTTATTCTACTGCATCTGTGAAATTGTCCTTCATTTTCCCAAACAAAATCCCCCTGTCATCCATGCTCTCTCCTTGCTCCTACCAAAACTTGCCTTGGATTCTAATTAGTTCTAGAGGAACCTGCCTTTGCCTCCTAGCTTGTAAGCACTTGAGAAGAAGATCTACTTTTATTCAACCCTGTAGGCAACTCTGTATGCTCGGTAAACACTTGCAGAATTGGTTCCAACTGCTCTCCAACTTCCTATGACTCTTTTCTGGACAGCAGGCATAGTACGTCATGCTACTTCCTGACAACAGCAGGCCCGTGAGATTCTGGGTGCAAATGTATAGGACACTTGACTGCTAACTAACTGAAAGGTGGAGGTTTGAGTCCATTCAGAGACGCCTCTTAAAAAAGGAGTGGGGGTAGGGGGGCTTGGGAATATACTTACAAAGAAAAACAAACCAGCCATTGCAAGGCCTTTGAAGTACATTGCTACTGAGACAGAGGGTTGCCGTGCATTGGAATGGTCTCAACAGCAACTTTTTTTTCCCATGATAAAAGTAGAAGAAATGAGAAGAAAAGAAATGAAGCCGATCCCACAGTCAATGGGGCTAATGCCCTGATTTGAGCCCAAGGTTGTCTAAACACTAAAGCCCAGGCTCCCTTGTTGCCTAGTTTGACTGTAGAGTAGCACTGCCCCATAGCGTTTCTGAGGCTGTAATTGCTATGAAGCAGACCAGCACGTCTTTCTCCTATAGAATGACTTGTGGCTTCAACCCTTCTTTTTGTTACCTTCACCACTGTACCACCAGGACTCCCTGTCTATTCTACTACCCCTTCTGAATTCAACAACACAGTATCTTTTCACCGCCTTCTAAAGCAAGTGGAGATTTTACTACCCGTTAATTATTTTCAAGAACAGTTAGTCTAATGTGAGGGAAAATAAGAGAATTACCCAGTTTGGGGGAACTTGTGTCTTTACCTTTACCAGACAGAAAAAATAAGCCAATTTACACTGAGTGTTAAGCCAAAACCCAAACAAGTCAGCATCGATGCAGTGACAAAGATTGAAAACCATGGTCTCCTGTCCAGCTTCCCATCTGGAAAACGACAAGGTTCTCATTCCCTGTGGCATGGCCATCACCCGGCCTCATGAAATCATGTCTTTGTGTGTGCTTCTGTTGGCAGGTTTGCTGAAAAGCCCAGTGAACAAGACGGCCCTGACCCTGATTGCTGTAAGTTCCTGCATCCTGGCCATGGTGTGTGGCAGCCAGATGTCCTGTCCACTCACCGTGAAGGTGACGCTACACGTGCCGGAGCACTTCATCGCAGACGGTAAGAGCTGAGCATCGCAAGTGCCCCCAGCCTACTTGGCACTTTGCTCCCCCAGCTGGTCAAATGTCCTTTGTCCTTGTGCATGGCCAACCTCAGAATTTTATTTCAGGGAAATAAAAGAACATCAAAACTTGTCTTGGAATGGGTCATTATCATGTAGGGCCCTGAATTATTCAAATTGAACAAAAGATTGCTTTTATTCTAAGGGGGAGGATAGTGTTTGTTGAATAAACAAAGAATTCAAATGTGATTACTTCAGAGAAGCTACTAGGTCTTGTCTATGGGTATTTTTCCAAACTAAAAGTATCCTTCCCCAAAGAATATTTACTCATTAAAAGCATATGACAGGAATGATGATATAAGCTTTGTTGGAATTTCCTGACACTCCTGGAGAGTACTCATATCTCATGCCCTGTAAATGTATTTTACAAGTATCTTGCATTCAGTCATTGACTCCTCACTCAATTAATTTGAATTAGTGAGACACTATAGTCACCGTGGTCATTCACAGAGCATGATCCGTGCGACTGATTAAGGTACTTGATATCTATTGCTAAAGTGCCCTTTGGAAAAGCTGTTCTAGTTTACATTCTCCTGCAGGCTCATGGGAGAAAGACTCGACTTTCTACTCCCGCAAAGAGTTCCAGTCTCGGAAACTCACACGGGTACTTCTACCCTCTCCTGTAAGTTGGCATTAACTTGATGGCAGTGAGTTTGGGGTCTTGGGGTAAGCTCTCATCGTACCTCTTTTCGCCAGACCCTTGTTCTCAGTTGACATCACTGTTGTTCAAATGTGTTGGCAGTTAGCACAGATACAATAAAGAAAACCTAATTTATGTGTGAAGGTCCGTGGATCTTTATGTAGGAGTCCACCTATAGCAAATGCTAGACAGTTCCAGTCCTGGAGAAGGCACCCCCCCCACCCCACCTTGCAGTGAACCCTTCCAGAGGCAACTGCCACTTAGATGTATAGCAATTTTAAAAACCCTTTTCCAACGGAATAGATAGGGAGTGTGTTTGAGGTCCCCTTCATTGGTTTTTTGGCCATATTCCCAATTTTATCTCTGGCCTTTGAATGACAGTGCTTCTGACATAGCACAATTTGATGACCAGAGCAAAGTGTACCTTTCCCCCCTGTTCTCTGAAACACCCAATTCCAATTCATCCATCCTGCTTTTCTTTCCAATTCCCTGTACTGAGCTAGCCCTTCCTGGTTTTTCCTGTGAACTGAATAGGCTGTCTATTTCACATTTGATATGCATTTACTTCTTTTATGTTTATTTTCTAAACTAATATAAAGTTGAAAATCAAAGATGAAAAGACTCCACCTTATGTACTGTAAACATGTTAGTAAGAGCACCCAGGGACTGGGTAAAGCAGAGGGTCGATGAACAAGAGGAAGCTGTTCAGTAGGATTTGCTGGCACAGTGGCTGCAACATTGGGCCCCAGCGTAGCAATGGCTGTGAAGAGGTTCAGGACAAGGCAGTATTGTATTCTGCTGGGAATTGGGTTACTATGAGTCAGAACCAACTTGACAGCACTTAACAATAATACACTGGGTTCATCCCTATCAAGGTACAACTTCACATAAAACAGGAAACCGTGTAAGTGTGAGGTGATAGGGACAAGCAGGCAGAGGGAACAACATTTAGAGAAACAGGCAGACAAGTACGTTAACGGTGCCCTGGGTTGGGAGAATTGCCAGAGCCAGAGCAGGGCTTCAATGTGGGGACAGGAGAATGGGTGTGATGAGCCCTGAGAAGGGAGAAGCCAGTAGAACAAACCCACAATCAATATTGTGATTTACCTTCTAGTCTTTGCCAATTTCTGCTTATCAACTATGGAATATTAGGCCTTGGATTAATTCAAGTTTTAATTACTTATTTTTCCTAATACAGATAGAAATGAAGGTCCAAAGTAACTTGTTCACAGACATAGCAAGATAAGTTAGCAGCTAAGATCACAGGGTTTAGAATAATATTGGAGAGCTTTAAAAAAAGGTCATGGATAAATGGAACTAAATTATACTGAGATTTTAACATGTACTTTTTTGTTTGTATTTCTAATTTTAAAAGTTTTATTGACACATAATTCACATGCCATATAATTCACTGTTTTAAACATATTCAAAAGAGTTGTACAATCATCACCACAATCAAGTTTTGAACAATTTCTTCAGTCTTATACTCATTATTATTAGCTCCCCTTTTCTCACCGACCTCCACGCACCATAACCCCATGGACCTATTAATGCAGTTACTGTCTTTATAGGTTTACCTAGTCTGGATTTCATATCAAGAAAAACAGTCCCAAACAAAACAACAATAACAAAATAAACCCCAGAAAACCCTCAATCCAAAAGAAAGCAGAATATAATAAAAATACAACAAATGTAACCTGGGCATAAATCTAGAACAAATGATAAGGTGTTACAGTTTAAACTAACTACATCTGCATTAATCCATCTTCTGATGCACTCCGCCTGAGAGCGAGGCTACGCACTTCTTTGATCAGTAGTCGGGGGAGGGGGCGGTCCTCCAGAAGCTTAAACCGCCTGGGGAATGTCCACATGGTTTCACTGTTTTCACTGTTTCAGTTCAATGATTCATTCATATCAAAGGGTTGTGCATTCTTTATGACCATCAAATTTGGAGCTTCCCCCACTTTTTTTACACATGAATGCCCATTCCTCATCTTCCCCTCCTTCTCCCTCTTTATCTCCAGGTAATCATTTGTCTTCACTCTCTTCCTATTTCCATCCATTGAAGATATACAGATAATTATACAAGGCTAGTGCAAAAACCAAGGAAGGACCTATCAACAATGGCCATACAACAATAGCCACTACAGACCTCAATCTATTAAAAAGCATACGATATCGAAAGTTTAGAATGCATTCACATTGGGTCTGCAGGGAGATCATCATGATGGCATTTCTATTTTACATATATTTCATTATAACAAACACACTCAGAAACATAGATTGTAAATCTATGCTTCAACATAAATATTTTAGACATATGTCTATGCACCCACATTATGTAACTATGCCATTAGCTATGTTACAAATGAACCAACAAGTTAGGCAAAACACACACCATAATGCAAGAGGTCTTTCAGGATGAAAGCAACCTCCTCATTAGAAAGATGATTTGAGCAGCCCAAGGACCATGGCTATGGCAACTCTCTTCCGGTCTACCCCTCTTCTGTGAACTCTCATCCCTTGCTGCTGAATGATCCTCCTTCTCTTAGTGGAGACAGCTCTCAGCCTGCCTTGAGTACTGAGCTGTCTTTAGTGTTGAGGCTTGGCTGGAGCTGAGTCATGGGCCCCGTCTTCAAGAAGAAAATGAAATGTGCCCTCATGTTACTGTGTAGTTATACTTGATGATTACTGCCCCTTATGGGGGAAAGGTCAGCACTACAAAGCACTTGTCCAGAGCCCAGCTGGCAAGAGCAGTACCTGCTGACAGTAGGCTCCCATCGGAACCCTTGGCAAATCTCCCCCAGCTTTGTCCAGGGCTCTTCAAGGCCACCACTAGTTATTTGCCCTGCTGAGAAGTGAGCATCTCACTGTGACATCGTGAAGAGACGGCCTGGGTCTGAAGCCAAGCTTATTGAACTTGGTATTGTTCCTTCACATATGGCCCATTGATCATCAGTCTTTTGACTGTCTGGGCTGATGTCCCAGAATGAATGACTCAGACTGTCGGTAGATGGGCTCTTCACAAGACTTCTAAATGATTCCATAACAGAAGTTTGAGAGCTATGTCTTTCTCTGGTATATATGTGTTAGGTCTTATCATCTACCATATGATATCGCCTCCAGGTCTGTTGGTGTCCTAATAAGAAATTAAGGATTGCTCCATCTTTAACTTTATCAAAATTATATTAATGGAACTGCTTCATGATACAACTTCATAGGTTTCTCATAGCATAAAATATGAGTTGCCTCGCCCTTAAAGTTTGTAATATACTAGCACTGATCACACAGATTCGTTAATTAACACTGCAGAGTTCTCTGCACTACAAGTGATACGTTGGAATGTGTCCAGAGGAGAAGATTGCAAATATATTGTAGATAAATAATGCCCTCTTAATAAAAGAGAGAAAATGAATAATTCTATATTTTGGGAGACCTAAAAAGAAGTAAATCTAGTATTAATGACTGTCTTGCTATATGTCTTGAAGTGTTCAAAACATGTATGAGTTTCTCGTTTTAATTGTCTTAGCAAATTCATGAGGCAGGACGTGCATCCTCATTCTGTAGATGTGGCGCACAGGGCTCAGAGAGGTTAAGTGATTTGTCCAGATTAACACATTGAGAGAGCAATGATGCAAGGATGAGAACCCAAATCTAACTGACCCTCGCCCCACCCATGCCCCCACCCTCCAGTGTAAGGTACACTCATAGACCAAGCATCCAGAAAAGAGATTAATCCTGATGGTTTTTATTTGGCTTGGGAACAAGCTGGTCCTGGAAGGTCCTGGAAAGCAAACTTTGAGCTGTGGGGTTGAAGAAGGTTGCCAGCATGGGAAAGATAGAGCCTTATTCTTGAAGCTACTTCATCTCCTATTGGCTGTGTGACTTTGTGCTAGTGACTTAAACTTTTCATGCTTTAGGCTCATTATCTGCAAAGTGGGGGTCATAGCAGGTGTTATCTCAGAGAGTTATTGTGAAGAACAAGTGAAATAATGCTCATAAAGCTTTTAGCTCAGTACCTGGGCTCTGGTAATGGCTCAATAAATCATATAAATGTTAGTCCTCCTTAAATATATATTTTTTAATATTGGAAGGGGGTCATAGCAAGGGAATGAGTCCCCCATCATGGGGGATTTCTTGAGAATAGATGACCACACTTCCATGAAGCCTTAGAAAATAAGTGAAGAGATCGATTTAGCTTGGGTATGAGATGTTTTGATTCAGAAAATTTTATTAGAAGATAAAATGTAAAACCACTTAATTTGTTAGGGTTTCCTTACACCTTTCATTCTTCTTCTT